ACTGGATATATTCGTGCAATTGCTTTTTTCATACGTCTTCTTAGTAGATCACCACTCGTATCGCCTTTGAACGGGGTCATCAAGAATAGTTCTTGCTTTTTGGCCATGATTGGTTTTGGTCATGTCGGCTTTCTATTTTCTCGTGGCACAATTATTCACCGACGGCTTTTAACATGAATGCGACGCTTATTTTTCCTATTCTTCTCATCGCAAAAGGATCCATATGAGCCTGAAAATAACTTGTTCTTACACGCTTTTAATGTGATCAGTAGAAAGGGTAAACGCTGGAACTTGGATGCGTGTATTACCACTAGGATGGACACGGGAAAAGCAGCTTTTAACGAGAGTTTCATACCACGTTCAAACAGTACAATTTAGGGTCCACCACAAAAACAACGCACACACATTCTGTGTTCTCATTCGAAGTGAAAGTGTAGATTCCATGTGGTGAAAAACTCCCTGTCTATGAATGATGAATCCAATACGAACAAGGAAACTCGATTCTTATGAACAATTTCACATCAATCGGTAACTGCTTTGATATTTCTTAAGTTGACAGATCGATATCGAGTGCGTCGACTGAGTTTATGAATCTGGTGTCTGGTAGAAACACGTTACCTCAATGCATTTCGTTTGGATCGTTTCGTGTTTTAGCAAAGTTGACATTTACTCCGAATCACCGATCGTTTTACGTCAACTGACTACTGATAAACGTTAAAGTAACCAGTTTATGGTAGCAATTCTCACGAGTCTCAAAACGTTTTCTAACCACTGGATGTTTGACGAGAGACGAACTGCTGGAATACGTGAACGATTTTTAAAAATGCGTTTAGTTGTTTTTTATCTACACCAACGACCCGCTCAATCCTTCTGTGAGAAAATTCCCACCTTTTTTGATGATTGAGAAATGGACGTAAATGACCAATGACTTTGTACTTGATACGATTGACATTGGAATATTCCGCATGGAATAGCAAATAGGTGTGTGACTACAAGATGGCGCTTGAAAGCGCAAGGAATAGATACTTGAGGTGATATTAACAAAACATAAAACAATATTGATAACACCAACAAACAAACGAACTATGATCTCTTTCGCATTAACTGGACCCGTTTTCGATTATAGCATTGATAGGGACAAATGGAGTGATAGACAGTGGTGTTTGTGGCATGCAGTTAGCAACAAATGATGGAAAGATTGAAACCAGACAAACACGTTCACAGGCAAGGAGACAGACTAGATGATGTGGAGAGCATGTCGGTCCTCATAGCCCAGACTTCCAACACAAAAACACGGAGAAGGCTTTTATGAAGGTGGAGATCGGGTGGGAAATCCAGGACTGATTTGTTTGGTCACTGGATGCCATTTGCAAAACCGAAAGGGTTTTGATTCATCGGGTAGAAAAGGATGCAGGATCGGACGGGAACCGATTCAGGACATGCATTTACGAGAGACGAATCAGGGATTCCAACGCCATACTCCTGCAGGATATCTTCGCCGCCGATTGCGATGCCCTCTCCGAATGCACGATCCTTTCCAACACTAAAGTTGTAGAAATTTCCGAGCGTGAAAATGCATTTCGTGTGTGGGGATGCTTAGAAAAGTTTACATTAATGGACAAACAAACGTCAAAAACGAGCCTTTCAAAATGGAAATAATGATAGCGATATACCACAGACATATGCTCATTGTTTTACATCTGAAGTCACTCAGAATTGAAAATAATAATAAGCAGTTCATTAATTCATTAAAAGGATTAAATAAATCCGTATTGCTTAGAAGTGCTAATTTCACATGGTGGGTTCAACCGAATGCCGATCAGTGGCGCCCTTTGGTGGTGGCAATGGGTAATAGCTTAATAGGGAAACCACCTTCAGCCTACGGTAGTTAGTAAAAGGTCCATGGCTACACGTATTGCCTAAAAAGAGGCAGGCCTAATGCAATCAGGATTTTCCAATAGTAACCCATTCACTTCCGATAATACAAGTGGCGTTCATAAAGCCCAATCAATCCACGGTAATACGATTGCTGTTCAGGTTTCAGTTTTATATTAATATGGTCTTTTGAATGAATCAATATCAGATCAATGAGGATAGTACGTGAACAACGTACCGATAGTCGACGAGTGTATCGTTTCACACGGGACAGAAACACCGTGGCCGCAGTGATATTCAATGTCTGTCGCGATTTCACCGAGTGTGTGAGCATCAGATAGGATTTGTCTGCCGTGATCTCATTCGGACAAATGCATCGACTGGGCCAGGAATAAGTGAGAATCATTTTGTCATCGTACGGATGGATATCGGATTCCAACGTCTCAGTCACATGGAAACGGAAGAACGGTTGAAATCGATTGTTTGGTCCGAACCACCACAACGTTTGTGCAATGCGAATAACAGCCGCTTAAGGGAACAGATGGAGGAAAACATCAGATGTAATGTTCATCTATAATCAAAAGTAAAATTGAAAAATAACTGATTACAACCTGGTGTGCAATAATCCACGTCCTTCGAATAACTTGGCTTTACACCCATGATCTTTGATAACAAATGAAGGTAAAAGGAACAAGGCACTGTTTCATGAATCCAGTCCAGTTGAAAATAACCAATATCCTCATTCCACGGTAGATATAAAACTTGCCCAGGTTGGTTCATTTGATACATCCGAAATAAGCCCGAAGTGAAACTGAACCACGCGGGCAAGGCGTCATGTCTTTTTGCCGCACAGTACCAGAAGAACTACAAGACTACGGGAGATATATCAAGATATATCACAGATTGCGCGGTGAAAGCTTTCTTGCGACTGCTCAAGTTGCTCTCCATGGGAGTGGAGATAAAGCAGTCAGTTCATCATTGCTCACTTTTCTGATCATCGTCAATGTGTTATCCATCTTGAATTTGGTTACTGTTTCAATTTATTGCTGCGGAAATCAGCTCTGATCTTTGATAGTGCAGATAAACATGGTGACATTGGAGAGAGAAAAGACAATTTTATACTAACATGAAACAATTTTATACGGCACACACACAAGTAGCATATCATGTGTGATTATTAAGTTTCCTCATCTTTGCCAAAATATCTCAACCTTTGATAATGACTACGGTCGTCGGTAGAAAGCGTCATAAATTAAATAAACCCATCATTAATTTTATTTACGGGAGACGGTTAACATGCTGGTGAAGCAAGCCCTATCCATCATCACCACCGCCACCACCACCATTCAAAAAAGTAAACTAGATAGCATTGTGTTCGATAGGATAATAATACATTCAATGATGTACGCAGGAAAATTACTATTGTTTATTCTAACAGTAAGAATTACTCACCCTAAGCCAAATAGGAACAAACTCTTCTCACTGTGATCTTAGTTCGGAATCGACGTTTCTTTTGTGTCCAATCGATGACCTAATAGTTTTATATTGATCATCATTCGTTTTATGAAACCACAGTGGGAGGTGATCGGTTATTCAGTGAAGTGACTGTCTCTATGTCCTCCTGATTATTTAGCAAGGGCTTGAATTCTGTCATCAAACGTGTCCGTTATTCCGCTATTGTCTTCAGTACGACCGGATACTTTTTACTTTGCTGCGGCTGCCTCCTTGGGAAGGATAAGCCGGCTTCAGACATGATCATGTCTTCAATACGACCCAGACACCAATGACCTCAGCGCAAGAACCAGCACCTCCCCCCCCCCCNCATTAAACTGCACTTATTGACTCAAACGTGGATGCTCAACTATATACCTATATCTTTCTCTTTTCATGGCAAATTCTACGGGCTATGTCAGAAACAGTTTGTACACAGAACCTCCATATACGCAACAACGATGACTTCATCTAAACTGACCACTCACAAGCAGTCAGATTGCTGAATGCGATCATTTAAGCGTCGTTCTATCGTTTATGCCCCACGCTGAATCCGCACATGGGAGTAGAAGAAGGATGAAGTTTCGTTTAAGGAAATGGGCTCTCAAAACACTTGCGTTCCTAACCGCTCTTTTTGAGCCAAACCTGAGCGATTTCCTGCTCAGCCTGACAATCGAAAGTTCATTACTGTTGATGGCTTTGATTTCATTGTCGTCAGGCTTCAAGCTCAGATTGATGACTACGTCCATCTGTTTCGTTTTCATTTCAAATCGCTCGCACAGATTTTAATCTGTGCGAGCGATTTGAGTATGTATGTGATTAAGGTGATGCCTTTTTTCTTGCACTGTTTGTCTTCTTCAAACTAAGTTGTTTTATCGTAGAATCTCATCTCAGTTTGTTTTTAAATTCAGTCTACGACTCTACTTTTCCTAATTCCAAATGTGAAGTATGACTCATAGAGTTGTTGTCATTCACATGAAAAAACTGCCATGATGAGAAAAGAAACCATTCTTTGAGACAGACATCTGCCGCAGAAACACTCATGGCTTTTTGTCCCAAGTTTCCAGACGAATGGTCACTGTTTTTATCAAAAGTGTGGGGCTATCGGACGATGAAGTTCTGCTCAAAATTGGTCACGAAAAAAAAAACATCTCCCACAACTTCAGTTACTCCTGGCACAACTCAACCCCATCCCCGATGTGTGATGTACGTAAATAGCACACCAGTAGCACTGATGATGAAGTGTCGGATGCCACAATATTTGTGCTTCTCAACCTAGGCCTCATTGTACACCAGTCCACGCTCCGCTCAAATGGCATATATCCATACAAGGTCAAAGCCTTACCAACTGTGAACTGCCCTTTGACCCATTGCTGTCGCGTGTACTCGCGGGGGAACATTGCATTGCACATGGCGGCCAGATCAGATGGACATCCGGGATTGACTGCATTCATTCGACGGCAGGTGGGGTGGGGTGGGGAGGGGAGAGGTGAGACATAAAAGTAAAGAACAGAGATGCCAGGGGTTAAGGGATAGTGAGCGATAAATCAACTATTGTCGGTTAAACGAATCCATTTTTTAAAAATATGTTCGGAAGTTCGAGTGGTGGTACACACCCTGGGAGAGCACAACTATTGCGAATCACTTTGAAAATGAAACCTATATCTCCCGGTCAAACTTTAGTGGGAAGAGAACAACTGACCAATAGAGACTGTGGAGGATACGAGACTATCGTTGTCTAGCATTTCTCGACTTACTATAGGTGTTTGACGTTGATCTATCGAGTGGAAACTACTCCGATCTAGTTTCAGTTAATGTAATTTAAGATGGCGATGAGCCGAACAGAAATCAACATATGTCCGAATCAAACAGACTAACTTCACTTTGAGCAGCCTGGTTCTTGTCGTCCTTTTTCACCGTTTAGATCTCCGTTTCTTTCTTAGCACACTTGTGTGGATATGACAAGTGTTCTTTGATATGTTGCCACGGTTCACCGGTTTCAAACGCAAGCCACCATGCTCCATGAACGTTCGTTACCAGGTTCTCGCTCCACGGCTCGTATACTTGAGCTCCAGTTTGATCCATCACCGTCAAAGGGCAAAATCCAATATCCAGTGCTATCCTTGCATAGGTATTTCATTGTGCTGGTTTTTTCATGTCATCTTCTGTGTATCTGCACTCGCACGCATACACTGTACGCTTCTGGTGGAGTTCCCGATTCACACCGACCGAGTGGCAACTTATCCTGAACACATGAGTTCCCGTGATTACTATTGCCCAGAACTTTGTGAACCAGTCAAATTGCTTTACATCAGTTTGTTGCAATATGCTCTTATCTTTATGATTTACGAGTATATAAAACAGAACGGTTTTGTACAATAGGTCAACAGTAAATTCTGGCACACAACAGTCCGGGTTTCCGCGTTGCCACAATGTTCCGACTGACTTTAGTGAAGTATGATACACTTCAGCTGCTACAATGATCTGAAAGCTTAGCTTAGCTTAGCTTGGATAATCATAACCATTGTTCATGTGATCATTATCACCATTATCCGAGTAATCACTATCATGTTCAGAAGATCCGGGCTTCAGTCAGTCAACCAGCATTGTGTAATGGTGTGACATCGTTTGGACGGTAACATGGCTATTCATTTTAAGTAAAAAAACCAACGAACACACGTTTGCTGAGGTCAACTGCAACAGATTCTATCAACCGGTAAAAATTTACTTGGAATTATTTTCATCATCATCGTATAACGAAATACCAGGAAAATGTAATTCTTTGTGTTGGAACAGGACTACGTGTGATTGTTGACCGGTAAAGAGAAGAAAACTGCTGTAACGAACCCCTTTGTCTCATAGTTTAACCAAATGTAAAAATCTTTTTTTAGGCAGTCTGTTCCGGTACATGTAGAACACTGTTGCCAATACCAATACCAATATTGTCATATTCTTTAGTGATTTGAGACAACCGGTTGCTAGAACTCTGGGGACACAACGCACAGCACGAAATAAATATGGTTTATCCGTTTGACCTCTTCGTGCGGCTATGGATACCTCAACTCCACATCACTTGTTGACTATTTTATGGTCAGATTCATCCTGGACCGATGACTACATGTATAACGCAATGCGTTAGGTGACAGCTCCTAACGAACACCGCGTGATGATTCCTTCGGAAATCGCCAACGAGAATTCGTTTATGGTATAAAGCAGACGATAAAATTGCGGGGGCTGACCGTCTACAATGGAGCATACCTTTCCTGTCGTGGAGGTGATCGTGGTTCAGAGGACAATCAACTCACTAATTCCGTCCAACATAGGCAGATTCAAAGATTTAGTCACCTCCATTTGTATCGATATTTTTCATTGTGCTTGGTGTTCAAGGTACGTCAGAAGGAGTGAACTCGGCTGTCGACCAGAATGAGCGAACAAGTTCTAAAAGTTTGGCTCTTTGAGGAAGCTATTTCCGGCTAACGTAATGGCACAAAATTTGTTGGATACCGGAAGCTGCATTGGCCAACTCCAGACCATCTATGCCATCCTCAGACTCCGAATATAAATGATGCTTAGGTTTAACAACGCAGTTTTCATTATCCCTTCTGAAGTCTGATCCTGAATCGGAAAAAGCCTTCCTGACACAATTGCTTTTGCCATTGTAATCATTTGATACCACTCAGTTCCCCCACTCTCCCTCATCCCACACATTCCCCGACCACCGTAGTTGATAATGCATCGCTCTCGTTTCCATCATGTGTAATCATCAGTGCCAAGTAAAACCCCGAGGCAGACAGTCTAGGGATTAGTCATTGGTTTCCACCCCTTCGTAGGCCAATCGGATTCGCAGCGTCCGGATTCGAATGGCTCCGGTGTTGCAAGCTGCTGAGGAAGCCTAACTAGTAGTCGTGAGTTGAAAACCAAATCTATTTCAGAAACCCTATATCGGGTTGTGTATCTAAATCTACAAGATAGACTGTGCGATTCATCGCTTGAAACCGCAATTATGTGTGCAAAACACTTTGTGACGCAACTGCTGTTGCCGTGGTAGTGATGATTTCTCACTTGATACCACCCTACCATAGCATGATGTAACATGACCATCCCTCCCTCTCCCTAGTTCAGCACATTGTTCGGATCAGTTCACCTCTATATCAAATTTTGTCATCTAATTTGACCTCAACCGCTAACCAAACACAAATCATGCAACTCACATGTCCACCACCTTATTCAAGTGACTCATTTCGACTCTTATGGTCCTTCGCTTTACATGATTATATGAATATGCATTTGCAGCTGAATGAGAGCGCGCAAAGTTGATGGCCAAAATCAATTCTGTTCACATATGTCTTCTTATGTAGATGAAGCTATTTGATGGAAAGTTTTCGATTTAGTAAGTTGCATGTCCCCCGCCCCCTGAAATCTGTAGGGTCAACAACTTACTGACTATCTCCGAGGCCGATTTAGGATAAAACTTAGCCGAAAGTTTCTGCTCAGCCCCGGGGTAAGCTAGTTGGTGTAATAGTAAACTACACACTTTCTTGCATGAGCCCCGAGGTTCAAATGTCAAACAGGCCGGAGATACATGCGGTTCTGCTGAACTCCAAAAAGAGCGAAACTCGAGTCTAGTGTTTTCTGCGTGTTAAGATTATCGAGTAGACTAACAATGTGAAGTAACTGTAGAATGCGTTTTTTTTGTATCACATGTTAACATTCCACACTTTTATCATCACTTGGTCTTCTGTTTAAAAAGATATAAAAGTTCTATGACTTAGCAAATAAATTTTTCCTTCCGTTCAAGTCTCACATATGGTTGCTATTGACCTCTGATAAGAAAATTATTAACACTACCACCACTAACACTGCTGCTACAATTAAGACTGCTACTGGTCGTGATAGTTTTGTTATAAATCCCCAAAAGGCAGTGCTGGGACGAGGGGACCTATGTGTTACGAACAGCGGAAACGGTATCGGTAAATTGGCACATAAAAAATGTGTTGTTTACAACAGGTCTTCAGAATTTCTAAAAACACAAGACTGCTAGTGGAACGGTTCGATGGTGTATGCGCATTTACCGTGGTTACCTTTTTGAGTATAGTACTTATCTTTAAGAGGTCTTGTTCAATTTTGACCTTTGAAAGAAACAGTTAACCTCTTTCTCTTGCGCAATCCAAACATAATACTCACAACAGTGGTTGTACTTTCGACTATTGTAATATTTATTGTTTTCACTACAATCTTTTCATCTCATTTCATAGACCTGAAACAGCAACTTTCCAGCAAAAGTAAACAATCAACCAAAAAGCTGCCCGTGATGCAATGAACTGAAACAATGCGGCAACGATGCTGGGAATCGAACCCGGGAGGTTCCAGGCAATGTCTCAGACAGAGCTAAATGACGGTCAAAGGGGGCGTATACACTATTACTGATATCTTTCACTGCAAAAATTTTCATTCCAATGTTGAAACAAAGTTTAATAAGATCTAGAGTTCTGCTGGTCACGGAATACAGTTTTGCATTTGTATTTTGTTTCGTATTTCATACGTATTTCTTGTTTTTGCCATTTCGGCCCTGATTGATTGTGACGACCTTGAAACACCTATCCAGAGTGAAAAATACAAATTGTCTAAAATGATCTGGGGGAGAATCTTACGTTCATTTGAACAACTGCTCTCGCATAAGCCAGGTGGTGAAGTACCCTTGGTTATTTTATCTAATCCCATGTCGCCAGTTGACCAGTTAACTGTGATTAAGGGACCAGGTTTCTCCACGCTCTCACGGTTCCTGCAAGTGCATCTGATCTCGTTGAAAGAGGTTTTGTCCACCGGGTTCTTACGAAGTATGATGCTTTTATTGTGAACCAGAAAACGAACACGATGAATAAGCACCGGGATTAAACATCACAACATCAAATGCTCTATTAGAATTTAGCACCCCGGTTGCATTTATACATGTAAGTCCCATGTTGTGTTCAGCTGTTTCTAGTTACCGTAAATGTATCTTATCTTTCGACTCTCCGCCACTTTCCTCTCTCTATTTCTCTGCTGTTCGGTGAAAGCAGATATGATTGAGGACAGGTGATTATTGGGAGACACGGGGGGGGGAGCTTAGTACAAACGAATATAGATATGAGGTGAAACCGGGAACTAGGGATGAGACCAGACAGTAGTTCGGTCGAGTTCCTAGTCGCTTCTGTGAGCTAAATTTCGCATGCAATAAATGGGAGGTTGTACGGATTCGACATATGAATAAGTAAGCATAAAGCTCCAAACTAATCACAGTATGTTGACCGTTTAAGGTAGAACGTGTTAGTAGTGTTTATTATCTGTTTGCTATATTCAAGATTTCTGGGTTAAAAGTGAATCATTCGGTCATCGGCTACCAGATTGATTACATTATTACATTATTATCAATATTCTATATTGCCTCATGAAAAAACATCCGTATTTCTCCCTT